TTTTTTACATTCGCGACTGCATTCCTGGGTGGGATCTTAAAGAGTGGTCCGTCTTGTTTTGTCCGTTAGTGGGGTACCATTGTTCATAGTCGATTTGTCTTAGAAGGGGTCGTTATCGCCCCCCCCTCCTTGAGGAGGAGAAGGGGTAGCCGGGGGTCATTTCATCCTGGTTTCGGACCAGGTCCGACCCCTTGTCTCACAATGTTGTACCTGAAGGGAATCAAAACCCGTTAACTTTTGGTATCAACCTAACAGCAATAGCTAAAGAGTAAGCAGTTAAACATCCTCTACCACCCTCAGTGTAAGCCCTGGCTGCGTTCTCCAGTACCACAGAGGATCGAGTTATGTTGTGGGACACCTCCTTACCGCCGAACTTGCCTAGGCGAAGACGGTAATTTAGTGCCCACCCCCCAAGCGAATCGGGAGCCCACAAGGGTCCTCCGGTAGACTCAGGGAAGTCATTATGGTAAAAGAATTTAAGACGATAATAAAACGTGCGCCCAAATGACGCCCCAGACTACTGGGCCTCCCTACCCAGGGTCCAACAGCCACAAGGGGCTAACCCCTGGTGTAGAAGAGAGCCTGCGGTCTGAGTTGGGTGCTGACTACGCCTACTGTAAGCCTCGTGTCACCTGCAACACAAGCCAACTGAAGGTGCAGCAAACACTATGAATCTTGTAATTCACAGGATTTTTTATTTACTTTATATTTTTACGTTAAAACACAGAAACAACAATATCAAGTGAGACTATAGGCCCGGGCCCAGGGTAAGCTCTATGGCACAAGATTTCGTTTTTATTGCTATCTATGTTAAGGACAAGGTGTTGTCCTCACAAGAGTTCAAACACGAGTGTTGTCCCCCATTTCACGAATTTCACGATGTATTTGTAATATGTAGCCCAGTTGCCGTCCCGGGGAAAAGGAACCAATCTCAAATGAGGAAATGCCAGTACTCGTTTTTTTATATTTTTGTGAAATATCTCTGGTCCATAGATGGCGGGAAAAAAACGTATTTTTACTAGTGCTATAAATATAGATGGTGTTATTTGAACAGCAAATTAGGATAACATTAACTATTTTCGTAAATCGATGACAGGGTTGAACGGGCGAGAACATGCGTACTTCTGAATTGCTCATTGGATACTTAGTACAAGTGTGCCCTCTATGTGTAAAACAATCGAACAAGACTCACAGTGGCATGGCGATGTACGTACATGCCATCCCTGGCGGCAGTGAGTTTATTAGGATTTAGTTTATCGACTGCAAGAAATTGACCGCTTACCAACTGTCTGTTTATAAGTTTACATATATCTAATGTGATAAGAAAAAAAAAAAAAAAAAAAAAATATATATATAATTATATATATATATATAATATATATATATATATATATATATAATTAGTAATGTATGATTTTAATAATACTTCCACAACCGTTTCATGAGTGAACTGGATAAAAACTGAGTATAAGGAACATTTTTTTCGGTCATTGCTGCACAAAAATTAGGTTAAATGGTAATTAACATCTCTTAGGAGGGGGGGGGATATAAGGAAAATCAGTCATATCAAATATTTACACTCCTCTATATTATTTTCATTTATTTTTGTCCATTATTATACTTATTTTGACATTCATCTTTAACGAGTGGAGGGGGTGGGGCAGTAAAACCCAAGTCTTTGTTGCCCTCTTCAAAGTCTGTCTTCCTCCCTCCCCCCTAAGAGCCACACCCCACAACTTTTAAAAGCTAATTAATTTGATTACAATATTCTTCAAAGCAGAATAGACTGGTGCGCAATGCCCCCCCCCACCCCCCCTCCCATTGACGCCCCTGGTATTATCGGTCTTTAATATCTTAATACTGTATATTTAGATACAGTAATACTAATTTACCTCTTAACCAAAAGGTGTCAAGAGCAGATGCTTGCTTGATTGTATTGTGTTCACAATCTTTATTCTAGTACCACGGTACTCCCGTCATATATATAATATATATATATATATTATATATATATATATCTATATATATATATATATATAGTGTACTGCAACAAGTGGTAGTAGACTACAACAGCCCTATGAATAAAGTTTTATATATATTTCCTTAATACGCCACGGATATATATATACGCCCCTTCTCCTGACTCGTCTACTCAGCACTATAACCTCCTGCACAATAATCTTCATTTTCCTATCTCCTCCTTTATTACAATTATTCAACCTTATGGTCCAAGTACTATCTCACTCCACACTACTTCCCTTCTCTCCAGTCCTCACCCTCTACTCACCACTTTCCCAGTTCTACAAATTTTTTGAGTACCCTATTTAGCCAAGTGGGGAACATTTTTTTGTGGTTCCCCCAACAGCCATTTACGCAGACAAATACCCTCCTCTTACATCAAGCCTCCAAAACAAGTAGGTCAGGCTTTTCCTTCTTCCTGATGGCCCATGCCGTGTCCACAGTTACGGTGTCGCCAAGCCCCTCGACTATCTGCCCTGGTTGACCTCACCGGACCACCTTTCCCTGCCCAACCCCACATCTTTCCCTTAATACATATAATGGAATTGTGTTCCACCTTCCCCCCCAGGCTGATTAACCTGTCTGCCAAACAAATATTGGGCAGACCTGCCTCATTGACTAATGATGCAGTATCAGTACAGTGCTACACTATTCTTTAATATACGTTATGTTTTTTTGAAACTTTACTTTCTCAACCGTTAACTACCATTCCTCAAGTTCGTGATTTTCAACACCTAGCACTATTTTTTTTTTAATTCAGGGCTCAATGTGACTTGTGTCAACCTAAACTTTTTTCATGCCTCATCCTTTCTTTTTTTCTCTCCTTCCACTTCATCTAGACTTTCATTGTCAGGTTCTGGACCCCCCTGGCTATACTGATTTCCTATTCCTCCTCCTATTTTCCTGTGTCACACTCCCCAACCTCACACACTGGTGCTTTATAACTGGCAATACTTTTACTTCTCTCTACTGTTCGCCCTGTTCCTCTATCTTTCTATTTTCCACATTTGACATGCTTTTATATTTCACACTGTCCTGAGCGCTGCCTTTAGCACCCTTCCCCCGAACTTCCGCAGCCACACACATCAAATGCTTCCATGATGGACACTTGAGTGCTCCAAAAACTTCCATTGAAGCATGCAAACATCAGTAGTAGGTAACTAGAGAAATAACCCCCAGCAAACATCATCTCTTATCATTTTAAGAATAGTTTCATCTGTGGCCCACAAAACCAGTTGGCAAAATTACATCCCCCATTACCTCTTCTACACCTAGTTCCAACATAAGGGTGTAGAATCCATGAACTATCTGGGAAACATCCCTTCATCCTGCCCCGAGGCACTCCATATCCATAACACCCTCTTTCTGAACTATACAAGTTCTACTGAGCTTTCTTTGCCATATTTCGCCCAGATCATGTAGCTCTCGCCTTTCTCCCATTTCTGTTCCATTACACAGTCCAAGGAACTTCCTCCCATCTTATCTTCTCCAGACCCTCAATGCCACACCTCCTCTACTCAACTCCGTTCTGTTCTCCAGAACACTAACATCATACATTACTGTAATGCTTCATCTTCCATTCTAACCTCTTATGACATCTTCAATCTTTGGACTACTACTCCACCACTGAAGCACTTATCCTACCTTTCCTTAAACCTAGCAAATCCGCACACCCCCCCTCAAGACTACCATCCCCATTTCTCTACTAGTTGTCTGTGCAAGTTGCAAGAAAGAATGGCAATCTATGCCTAACATGGTATCTTGAATTCCACCTCCTTCTATCTTATCACTTTGGATTCCATCATTGCTCAAAGTACAGTTGGCCCCACTTTCCACAATTTAGAATTTACGTAACATCTGATTTTCACACCATGACTCGGTATTTACCACTTCTTCAACCCGGAAAAGGTATGTGATACTACGTGGTTGAGACCATATGAAATAGCTATCATCCCATGGCATACGATGGAACACTCGTGTATTCATTAAGTCATTCCTTTCCAATCGTCCCAATCACCTTTTCTTGAATATGGAGGTGTCCCACAAAGAGCATGTAACTTAGCACCAACATTGCTCCTTCTAGCCATAAACGGCTGATTTCGGTATTATCACCAGGTATCCCGATCATCCCTGGGTATATAGATGATTTTATCATCTATCATCTGGCCCTTTTGTACTACTCTGTCAACTATCCAATTCTGGCAATATCTTTTAATCTCTTCCTGGGCCGCTTACATGACTTCTACTTTTTTACCTCTAAATACTTCTCCATCCTTTTATCTCAGTAAGGTATAGTTCCTCGCACCTCGACTTTATATGATACCCTCTCCATTTCTCCTCAGCAGGCAACTTCTTGGGATCATTTCTTGGCAAGTTACATCTGTACATCAAAGAGAAACCCACTGCTACCTCTGCTCCTTATAGAATTCTCATATATATGGATGTAGAATGCAAACTCTCCTCTCCATCTCCATACTTTCACTGACTGATGCTCCTCCTCTTGACTACCCTTCTCGAGGGTGGTTTTGCTGTAATCTCTCTTTCCTATACTGTCAACTTTCGCCTTCTTCTGTCTTTTCTTCCCAAATCCAGTGTCCAACAACAGAATTGTAGTGCAGTTTCAATTGTAAACGCATGTCCCGCCCTCCCCTCACTCATCCTTCAATCAATTTTTCACCGACTCCAAAACTCCTAATCTTTTATACAATCTCCACAACACACCTCAAATATTGATATATCACATGGCAACCCCCGCCATTTCATAGATATTTCGTCAGTCAACATCTGAAAAGTAATAATGATAGATAAAAATCATATCATGTATAGGGCACTATCTGTATACATATATAATAACAACCGTTCCTGACCAGGCCCTCGAACCCAGGTCACTCACTATCATACTCATATAGGAGTAATAAGTAATTGTCTATGGAGTTTTAATTAATCTCGGTTTGCAAACACCTTTTAGTGGTCGCGGTGGCATGGTTGGTTTAGTACCGGCCCTCCGGACTCCTACCCAGAGTGACCTAGGTTTTCGAGGCCTGTTAGGGAGGGATGTTTAAATTTATATCATGCGGCATTGGGGGGAATTATTCCTCTTTCATATATATACACCTTATATCTGTATTCGTTTCTAAATCAATTTAAGAACATTGTATCAACTAATTGGTAGGATTCACTGAAGCCCCCGGCAAGAAAAAAATATATATACTTATATTTATATATATGTATAATATGTATTTTTGATATTTTTTTCTGTCAACTACATGCTATATATTGCACGAGTAGGGTTCAAAATGTGTATGAACTACATAACCAATGATTCTAAATTAAAGGTTAAAAACTTTAAGCACATACGCACAATCAATGTATTCAATGTATTCACTGATAACAGCACAAGGTTAAAATAATCTGATCTCATGTACCACTATTTGCAAACATTTCTTATAAGATTTAGATTTTGCTGGTATCAGTTGAAACCTTATGAGCTCATTTACGTCTGATTTTTAAAAATCCGGACACCCATCCTCTCCCTCTATGGAGTTTCTCTCTGTTTATATATATATATATATATATATATATATATATATATATATATATATATGTACATATATATATATATATATATATGTACACATACGCACACATATTTCTCTCTCTCTCTCTCTATCTCTCTCTCTCTCTCTCTCTATCTCTCTCTCTTGCATCGAAGGTATGCAACAGTTTAGGTCAACAGTGATATGTATGAAACATGGGAAACGAGGAAAAACATTTTTGAGGAGGGCACCCCCCCCCCCCCCTTCTTGAGGGAATTTCCACAGATTTAGTACAGAAAGGTTCTGAATGCTGAAATACACAAAATATCGAAATTATAAGACATTTTATAAGATTTTTTACCCACCGCACCCCCTTTCCCCCACTTATAATGAACTTCATACTTCAGATCTGCTACACTTCAAGAAATGGTGAAGCTTGGAGTTGATATCAGCAAATGGGAAAAGAGAAAGGGCATCAGTTCATATATCTTGAAACTGGACCTGGAACGTGATATGAAGCAGCACTTGATGTAAGTACCACATAGTGTAGGAAAATTCTGAAATCTAAAATCATCCTTAGCTGTATGGATAATAAAGTCATGAGGGTTCAGGTCAGGAGTGCAAGAAGGAAGCTGATAGATCTTAGCCTTTGTTCCTTCAGAAAGTCTACTCTGTAGTGTACCCTGTGCGTAGAGACTAGGTCCCGAGGATGAAGGGCTCACTGTCGCTACTAAATTTTTATTATTCCTTCAGTTTAAGACATGTTGTACACCAATGTGCAGTGACAGCAAACAGATTTTGAAGTTGAACAGAGATAGTGTTGCTCTGCATTTCAAAGAATGAACACTTCGGACTTTTTTATATATAAATATATAGAGTGAGGCGTTTGTTTGGGGGATTTAGAAACAACAGTTCGTTGTAAATTACCATAAACTTTCAATCGCTGCAAAGAATACTAAGCGCTACAGTAACGCTCATTTGTAAACCCTGACTCACACGAGTTTTTTGTGTTTCTGATTTTGTATTTAAACACATTTAATATGACGTCATGTGCTAGTATATAAAAGTCTCCTATTAAATTATGAAATAACATATTTTCCAGTACTAGTCTAGCAGCTAGGCTTACGAGTCAAGAATCATGCCCTCATGGTTCTTCCCATTTAACCCATTGCCGCCGGGGATGGCATGTACGTACATGCCATGCCCACTGTGAGTCGACTTGTTCGATTGTTTTTACACATAGATGGCTACACTTGTACTAAGTATCCAATGAGCCAATTCCGAGTACTGCATGTCTCGCCCGTTCACCCTTTTCATCGATATGCGAAAATATTTAACGTTATCCTAATTTGCTGTTAAAAATAACACCATCTATATTTATAGCATTAGTTAAAATACGTTTTTTCCCGCCAATTCAAGGAAAGGTGAAATCAGGACTAGCAGAACCATCTACGGACAGAGAGATTTCACAAAAATATAAAAAATGAGTACTGCATTTCCCCCATTTTTTGTTCATTTTCCCCGGCGGCAATGGGTTAACATCCTTTGCTTAGCTTATTACGTTATGAAATAGAAGTCAAGACGTGCCCACAAGCATTCCATTGATCGTAAAAGTTTTTATGGCAGAATCCATACTGAAAAATATTCCTTGGCATTTTACAAAAATAAAAGGATAAATAAAATAATGAACATTATTCTTGTAACAGTACAATTGTCCGACAGAAAATGTGTTGGATATGGTTCGATTAATACCGAAAAAAATCTATCTAAACCCTCATCTTGCACAGATGCACTTCGCCTCGAAACATGACAGGTGACCGGACATGGATTTTAAGAACACATTTCAGTATTTATTTTATTTGTTCCTCTCTCTCTCTCTCCAATTAATCAATTGCCAGACCTACCTGCATCACTTGATTACCCCTTTCCTTGTTTGGAAATGTTATTTTGTATTTTGTATTGGAATTAGTGCTATTAATGATCATATAATCTTCACATTGTCAAGACCTTTATTAAAAAAGAGTATTATATACTTTATTTTTATATATTTTCTTTAACTTTTCACAGGTTCCTCCATCATCAAGGTGTAAAACCAGAGGATCTGGGACGCTGGCTCACCATAAATCCTCTTATATTTCGTGAAAGAATAGAAGATCTTGACTCTCGTATCAACTATCTAAGGGCGGTGAAATTTACCGATGGTGAAATTGCACGTTTGATATCACGCAATCCATATTGGCTGTTGTTTAGGTATGAAACCTTTGTCATGTTATTAGATTAGTAAGTTGGGAGCTTTTAGTTAAGTTACTGTTGAAGTTTAAATTCACCCAAATAATGTGAAACTGAAGTAAACGTACCACGCGCTAAAGAATGTTTATATATGACCGGAAAATAAGTAATCAAATCAACGTCTTTTTTGTGATTTTCCAGGGAGCGTTTTTATCTGTGCACAGCAATGTAGTAATAGTTATGTTGAAATTAAATTTTGATCGCAATGATATTGTTTCATTGTACGTTACAATTATAATAGATAAGTAGATCTTTATTTAGCTATTATCAGTAATAAGGGTTTCTGACTCTTTTTTTTCAACAATTAGTTAGCAGTTTGAATGTAATTTAAAAGTTAGATACTAAAAATAAATTTCAGATTGCATATGTATATTGCAATAATCGTAAACCATGTAGGTAATTGAGAATGTGAAATCAGCCGATTCGGCTCACCATGGCCTTGATGTGAGGTACAGTCTTTTATGTAGTATTATTTGTACTGGTTAGTATTGAACCAAAAGTCTTAAAACCTTAAAGAATACGGTGAGGCTGAAACGGCCTAACAGAAATATAGTTTACAAATATAGTTTATAACATAGATCATAGTTAATGGGTAGCCTTGAAACTTATGTTGCAGTGTTAACGTTTTAACCCAATGGTGCCGGGGAAAATGAACAAAAAATGAGGAAAATATTGCGCCCACTTTCTATGTTTTTCGTGAAATGTCTGCCGATAGATGGCTCTGCTAGCGCCTGATTTAAATGGCGGGAAAAACGTATTTTTCACTAGTGCTATGAAAATCGATGGTGTTATTTTTAACATAAACATTGTAATTTTTATAATTTTTTTTAACATTAGTAACAGCAAAATAAGATTACGTAAAATATTTCGTAAATCAAAGAAACGGCTAAACGGGCGAGACGGGCAGCACTCACAACTAGCTCATTGGGGAGTTAGTACAAGTGTTGCCATCTATGCGTAAAAACAATCAAACAAGTACTCACGGTGGGCATAGCACGTACGTACACGTCATACCCGGCACCAAGGGGTTAAATCGGGCAATTACTGGTTATGCATTACAGGTTATCGCCTTATAGTTTATGGAGTACCCTTTGAATACTTTCCTGCCTCTGCGTGTTATATTTCATAGTATTAATAAGTTATTGTTTCAAAATAAACGGTTAGGCATTTTTCCCTTACCTTATAGCATTATTGTATTTACATTCTCAGCTTCTTAAAAAGTTATATTGCCTTCATCGTCATTCCAACGATAATAATTTATTTGTGTTCTAGATCGGCATTTCATCTGAGAATTAGGAATATTCTGTGCATAGCTTCCACTTAACTGCTGCGAGCATAAATGAAAACTTAAATTATTTACATACTTTTACAGCACTGTCAGAATTGACAACCGCCTTGGGTTTTTTCAACATTTGGGTGGCCTTAGTAGAGGTGAAGTTCGTGTCGTCGCAGTGAAAGAGCCGCGACTGATTACACACAGTCTTCATCACGTCAAGGTAATCTTTTCCTGGAAAGTGTGTTCAGATGCAAATAGCCAAAGGATTACTAGAGTTAACAGGAGCATTCATGATGGAAATATAAGCTAAATACATTTTGATTTTTTATGTTTTTCCATTCCAGAGAACATCCATTGCTGTTACCGAAGAGATGGGCTTTAGTAAGAATGAAATGAAAAGTCTGATATTATCTACTCCAAAACTATGGATTACTCGTAAGTAATTGGGGCATGCAATTAGGACTGCATTGGGACAGAAGCCCGAGGGCTCTCGCAGGGCCCGCAAAACTGTTTTTCCATATCCCTCTTGGTGATCCTGCCAGTAATTGTCAGTTTCACACTTTGTTTTTTTTTTCCCAAATCAGTCATTTTATTGGGAAATCTTCTCCATCGGTCTCTTATGTAAATGTGAACATTTGTAGTTTAAACAAGTATTGATATATATTTGATGGTATAATTATATATCTTGTTTTAAATTCTATCCTTACAGATGGGCCGTCATTACTCCGAAGGTTTGAATATTTGCACAACGAAATGGGATTATCACACAGTGTACTTGTAAAATTTCCAAAGATTTTACTGTCACGGGAATTCAGGATAAAGCAACGTCATCTTTATCTGAAGACTCTCGGCCGAGCCCAGTATGATCCTCACAAACCTAGTTATGTGTCTCCAGCTTCACTGGTGGAAGGCAGTGATACCCATTTTTGTAGTGACATTGCGAAAAGCACTATTCATGATTACAACATATTTCTGAAGACCCTTTAATTCGCTATTATTTATCTGTGTACATTTTGTCGCAAGAATGTAGACGCATCTCTTGTATTTACAAATAATTCAGAATAAAAAGGTCGAACAATTATGTACTTAGTATAACTTCCTTACCTTTAAGTCGGTAGAGAGTGAACTGATGAAAGTGAAACAAAAGAAACATATAAAAAGTTTTAAATAAAAGATAAAACAGGATTACTTATGGATATTATGCAAATCAATTTCATTCCAAGTTACGTTACAAACTATATGCCGCGAAAAATCATATGAATAAGTGAATAAATAAATGCGATTTTCTCCTTGTACTCATCTTTTAACCAAAATAAGTATTTTACACTTAACCTATTTCCGCCAGGGAAAATGAACAAAAAATGGGGGAAATGCAGTACTCATTTTTTTATATTTTTGTGAAATCTCTCTGTCCGTAGATGGTTCTGCTAGTCCTGATTTCACCTTTCCTTGAATTGGTGGGAAAAAACGTATTTTTACTAGTGCTATAAATATAGATGGTGTTATTTTTAACAGCAAATTAGGATAACGTTAAATATTTTCGTAAATCGATGAAAAGGGTGAACGGGCGAGGCAGGCAGTACTCGTAATTAGCTCATTGGATACTTAGTACAAGTGTAGCCATCTATGTGTAAAAAACAATCGAACAAGTCGACTGACAGTGGGCATGGCATTTACGTACATGCCATCCCCGGCGGCAATGGGTTAACTTTATTATAGACACTGGTCTTGTCTTTGACATGATTAGTGATGTAAAAGGTTTTTTTACCAGTCAGATGATGTTTTAGTATTGTGATAATAGAACAGCCCTTCAGGCATGTATGTAACACTAATGTTTGACCAATGGCCCTCTACACAAATAGAAGCACAGCCAGTTTGGATAGATGCTTTGGTATCTTACCCTGGCTTCTTGCAGGGCATGTACACTGTTCTGTAAATAAATGTTATCAAATCAAATCAAATCAAATCTCTCTCCTCTCTCCCTCCCTCTCTTTCTCTCACATTCTGTAAGAGGCTGTGGGGGGCTTCATACAATGACTGGTTGGACAAGTGATACTTTGGCACGGCTCTACTCTTTATTGATGAATAGTACAACACAAATAATTGAATACATAATAATCGGCTAGCAAGCACTTAGTGCTCGGAGGGACGGAGACGGATATCCTGACAGAACGGTGACGGAGGGAGAACTATCTGACTGGGTCTAAAGGCACGAAGCGGCAAATCTCCACCGGAAACGTGGTGTGGGAAAACAGCTGCAGAACATCAGCTTCCTCATGGAGGGAGCAAAGCGAGGTCACACCCCATACTGCATATAGCTTTGGCTCGTCTGCTTATTGATATGCTATACTCTCTCTCTCTCTCTTTCTCGTGTTGAGCCTCTAGACTCTTCGACAAACGGGAAATAATTGCTCCTGTTTCCCAGGACATCTGTATGCTGAGTGGCCTTCCTCTTCCAGCACCCTCACAATAGATTGCGGTAACAAATGTCAAGCAAATGTGACCATGTTTTCGACAAAACAAGCAGGCTTCCACCTTTTTGGAATTTCTGTTGACTCTGGGGAAGTGACTCTACTTCTGCTGGAAAGGCTGACTTTTCCTCTGGTAAAGTGTGAGTTTGATTGTCATTTTTCTCAAGGTCATAAATCCCGAATTCTCGGAGAATATCATAGCTCATAGGAATTATTCGAAAAAGGCCAAGAAAGGCCCATTGAAAGTGACATTCATAAACATACAAATGCTAACTGATATCATAGGGCGTCTTTTTGTGCGTACCATAAAAGTTAATCCAGTATTAAAGTTTATGCTAGATCTCTACACAGATACCTGCTTTTTCATGTAAAACAGCAGAGTTACAGACAATCATCGTGCGCCTGGCAGTGTGTCTTGCATTTTATGTGCAAATAGTGTGGATCTGAATTAACTTTAATCCGGAACTAGCTTTTATGACGAGTACAGAAGACGCCTATAAAGTCCTAGCTACCCACCAGAAAAAAAATAATTTGGAGGGTTAGAAGCCTCCACGCAGAACAAGTCTGCTGCCGGGACCAAACATTAAATTTACAGTCAGAAGGAATATCGAAAAATTATTTAGAACTAGTTATAGATATTTAGATTGTTTATCCTCAATGCTACTAGACCTCGATACAATAATTGAAATGAATAAACGGGATGTAATATGTATCACTGGATCCAAACTGGACCCTCATATACAATGTGACATTAGGACTCAAAGTGTAAAATATCTGGAGAAAAGATCGGGTAAATGGTAACGGAGGGGGAGTAGCAACTGAGGTAAACAATAATAACCGTAGTGTACGTGCCACTTTATACACCGATATGGTCACAAGAAAATTACCAAAAACCCAACTTAAGAAACGTTAACGATCCTAAAGTGTTACTAGTACCGGAAACAAATGCACAAGAAATTCTTGTAACAGGGAAGTTTAATAGCAAGCACACCTAGATTCGTGGAATGCAAAACTACTAGAAATCATGAGTAATGTTTTTTTCCAAAATGTAACGGATAATACCAGAATATGAGGGCAAGACAGACCGTCACTTGGCTTAATATTCACAACTCATAAATATTATATTAAGGATAGGGAGTACTGTCCTCCTCTGGGAAAAAGTGCCATTTAGTAATTAAACTAAAATACCGTCTACTACTGGGAAAATAAGATTTGTAAATGAGGAAAGAAAAGGACAGTATATCTACAAAAGAAGTAATTATAGAAGACATACAGAGTTATTTGATGGCATAACCGGAGAAACAACTCTGGAAGAAAAGAACATTCATGTACAATATTAAATATTTTGCGAAGCCTATAAGAAAGGAGTATACAGATTTGTAACAAAATTCTAAACGGAAGCAAAAAATGGTCAAAGTAGTGATGGAAGCAAGAAAACGAGAAATCAACTCGCTCTTTTAGAAAACGTCCAAAAGACATAGATCTCAAGCTACCTATGAAAGATATAAAGTAGAACGAAATCATTATACCCAAACCATGAGGGAGACGAAATTAGACTTTGAAAAGGATAAAATTTTAAAAAAATGTACGAATCGACCAAAGCTCTTCTTTAACTACATAAATGGTAACACTAAAAGTAGAGATCACATTATCACCATCCAGGACAACACTGTCTATACTACGGAGTAGTAATGAGGTGAAATCTCTAATGATAAATCTAAGTCAGTGTTTGTTCAGGAAAGAGAAAGAATATCGATAACATCATACTCAAAAAAAAAAAAGAAAAAAAAGTAAAGTCTTGAAGTATAAGCTTGGAAACTTTACAATACATCTTTATGTAAGAGCGTAGATAAGCAAAACCTAAATTATAGCCCTGCTTCGTTAATCAGTTTAATTTATAAGCTTATAGATAGTATAATTAGGAAACAATGGTTTGAAGTACTTGGAAAACAATATGATATCATATGAGCAATTTGATTTTGAGGAGGGTAAGCCATATATAGCATACGTTTCTGAAATATTTAAAAAAAGAGATGGTCGAGTGAATTGTGCATGTTTGACGCAGGTATAACGCATGAGACTATCTTGGAAATTAGAACACCTAGGCGGAGTGAAAGGCAGACTCCTCGAAAGGATGAAGAACTTCATACAGGAAAGACTTAAGAGGCTGAACACAATAACTGGAGGGAAACACTCTACTAGGAGACGCGTAACAAGCGGAGTACCTAAAGGGTCAATCTTGACTCCGGTTGTTTACTTTTTTCATCAATAATTTTGCTTCAAATATAAACCCAAGTGGCCATTTAAGTATCTTTATAGAAGACTCTAAAATATACAAAAAGTATTGTACACGACATCTCATACCAATGCCTCCAGGGGGATACCGAGAATTTATTCATGTGGAGTTATACTTGGAAAATTCAATACCAATAAATGCAATGAAGTCAAGTTTGGGGAAAGTAAAAATCGATCCCTATACCAATCCAAGTCATACACAGAAGATAGAAAAATATGGAATAATCATAAGGACCATAAGATGCGAGGACTGACTGCCTGCGTGAAGAGGGCATTTATATATGTGACTTCGATCAGGATGTCGAAAAGTTTAGTACCCCAAATAGAACTGTTGAAACTTTGGAACAATCTCCCATATACTATTGTGGGCCGAAATGTGTATCAATTTTAAAAAGTTATATCATAACTTAAATGTGACAGGCGGGGTCCCCTCCCCCCTCCAACCTCTTACTCGTTGTTGTCGCCCAGGACACCAACGCAGGAACGGACGACCAGCAATCGGCCCGCCCCGGTCAGGCCGAGAGTGGTACTATATTTATAATCAGTCAACAGCTGATCCGTATAAGCCAGCAATAATATACAGTAGACTTACGATCCATAGAACACACACACAACACAAAGCACAACACACACGACACAAGCACACCCACACACACACACACACACACGATCAACAACAGCACACACACAAGTAATACTACACAACAACACACCACAACACACAACACACACACACCACACACAAAGACTAAAGACAGAAAGATTATATACAGATGATGTATAACAAGAACTCAAGAGAGGACATCATGCATACGACAACACACACTACAACACAGGGACTACACACACACAGGCGAGCACACACACACACACACTACCGACGAAAAGCAGAGATAATTAGAATATAGAGGAAGCACGGAGTAGAGGAAAAAAACAGAGAGAGAGAGGGAGGAGAGAGAGGAGGAGGGAGAGAGAGCAGACGGAGAGAAATTATAGAGATAGAGAGATGGATGAGGGAGGAGAGACGAGAGAGAGAGAGAGAGAGAGAGAGAGATTAGAGTGAAAGTCAGAGAGATCATAGAGAGATAGAGAGAGGAGAAGAGAGAGAGCAGATAGAGAGACGCAGAAGAAGATAAGAAGGAGAGAAGCGAGAGAGAGAGAGAGGAGAGAAGAGCAAGAGCGAGAATATAACCTAGAGAGGAGAGACGAGAGAGAGAGAGAGAGGAGTGAGGCAGGACGCGAGACGAGGAAGATCTGACGAGGATAAGAGAGACGAGAGAGAGACGAGAGAGAGAAGGAAGAGATATATTCATAT